AACCTCATTGGTTGAATATTACCGCGCCAATTTTGATTGAACTTTATATTAAATTGGTGTGACCTTGATAAAAGTATCAAATATATATATTTTGGGAAAGTTACACTGCATCACTTTATTAATGTATGCTGATGGGAAAGGGTTTAAAAGGTGACTCAGTTAGTTTGTCCATTTTATAAGGAAAAATTACCTACCTGAAAAGATTTTGCCAAAACCTTAAAGGAGACATAATTAGGATCAATTACAGGTAAAGAACTGATTATTTATTTATGACAGCAACTGTGACTGCATGGGTGGGCAATAAACTCTGAGTTGTTGACAAGAAGATCATGATTTTTCCGTAAAAGTTTAAAAACAATCCACTGGACTTGGTTTCCAAGGTTTGAAGACGTTTCCCTTCCCCTCCAGGAAGCTTTCTCAATTTAAATGAATTCTCAATTCATTTGAATTGAGAAAGCTTGGAGAAGCGAACTGTCTTCAAACCTTGGAAACCAAGTCCAGTGGATTGTTTTTAAACTTTTACGAAATGACTATCACCTGGATAACTGAGAGTCTTCATCAGCAAGATCATGATTCCTTATTGCTTCTCAAGAAAATATTTTGGTAACACTTTACAATATCCATTATTTATAAATAGTAAAAAGGCAATTTATTAATGATTAAAATATTTATTAATGTTTGATAATCATTTATAAACTGCATCTAAACCATTTATAACAGGTTAATAGAGTATATTGCCCTGCAATGTTTGTTTATCCTTAATCCTAACACTGGTGGGCTTCTTGCCTAACAGTAATCTGACATTTATTTATGTTGCTCTGCCATTTTAGTTTACCCCTAACCTTAACATATATGGAATTAAGACCTGTGGGCATTGTGCTCATAGTCAGGCAGGATGTGTGTGAGAAGATGATGAGCACTCAGCTGTGCTGCCTCAACGCCATTGTTGCACATTCCTCCTCTGCTCAGCTGCTTAGATTGCAATAGGGCCTAATTGGAACCTTATTGGTTGAATATTACAGCGGCAATTTTGATTGAACTTTATATTAAATTGGTGTGACCTTGATAAAAGTATCAAATATATATATTTTGGGAAAGTTACACTGCATCACTTTATTAATGTATGCTGATGGGAAAGGGTTTAAATGGTGGCCCAGTTAGTTTGTCCATTTTAAAAGTCACAATGACCTGAGAAGTTTTTGCCATAAACCTTAAAGGAGACATAATTAAGATCAATTGCAGGTAAATAACTGATTATTTCTGACGCCAACTGTGACTGCATGGGTGGGCAATTAACTATGAGTTGTTGACAAGAAGATCATGATTACTTATTGCTTCTAAAGAAAATATTTTGGTAACATTTTACAATATCCATCATTTATAATTAGTAAAATGACCATTTATTAATGATTAAAAGATGTATTATTGTTTGATAACCATTTATAAACTGCATCTAAGCCATTTATAACAGGCTATTAGAACATATTGCCCTGCCATGTTTGTTTATCCTTAACCCTAACACTGGTGGGCTTCTTGCCTGTTATCTGACATTGATTTATGTTTCTCTGCTATTGAAGTTTATCGCTAACCCTAACGTATGTGGACCTGAATCTAGTCTTTTTATTTTATTTTACTTGCATTGTCATGTTGGACTTAGCCTTACCCTGTCAGTGGGCCTAATACCTTAATAAATTATCCATTTACCTTTTATAAATGGTGTAGATGCGGTTTATAAATCAATCAGACATTAATAAACTATCTGTAAATATTTATACATGGTCACTTTAACGTTCATAAATGATTGTTTTGATGGTTATTGTAAATTGTAATCAATATTTTTTTAAGCAGCTGCTTGTGGCTATGGTCCGTGCGACTAAGTTTTACCATATTACTTAACGTACTAACAGCTGACACATTTGATTCTTCTACAAGTGTTGGCTTTAACTGTCTAAGCTATGTTGCTCTTACTATTCTGTAAGGAATAATGACTGTTCAGGTTGTACTGATATATAAAATGGATGAATGAAAATCCTTATTTGAATTCAAAGTCACAAACTATTCCTTTTAACTCAACATCTGGTGGCACTGATATTAGACATCAGTCTATATAGCTTATTTATCTGCCAACCCATGTGTTTGGTCACAACCATAACCAAATTATATTGTGATACATCAAGCCTTTAAGCTACAATTGGGATGAAAACAAAAAAAAAAAAAAGAAAAGAAAAAGAAAGCTGTTTATTTTATTGGTACCGATAGTTTTTGCTGAATATTGTCTTTTTTATCACAATCACAAAATGATAAATGTTACTGGAAGGATTCATTTTAATGATTGGAATTATTACTTAGCTCATAATGGAAGTTAAGTTGAGGTCCAGTTTATAAAGGTTCACTAAAGAGAAGCATTAAATTCTCGTCACAAAAGACCCGGAGTCCACTCTCTTTTTGAATGCAAAGTAGTGGATGAACAAGTGAGTGCATCTATGTCTGCTGAAGAGACGGAGGGCCAGGAGTTGGGAGTTTTGATAAAAGCAAAGCTCGTTTAGAGAAACTGCCTCTTTAGTATGGGCATCTTCATCTAACCACCCATACGGACAACAGTCGCTTCAAATCACCAAGTTCCTCAGTTTGATGAATGACTTGGCAGATTGCCATTTTCACATGGTATGCATGGTGTATTTTCATCACTAGATTAATTAATCTCCTGCTTTCTTTCTTGTGGAGAAAATCATTATAAAATTTGTGTCAGCCAGTGGTTTTTAGCATCAGCCCTACCCAACAATAGCCTGTCTCACCTGATAAAGACACAAAGTCAGCAGTTAAGGAGCTCGACTTACCCGGCCTGTTGCATGTCTGAGCATGACGATACATAGGGAAAAGCAATTCTGGTTCTTCAGCTAGAAATTATGTGAAGTTTACAGCGTATAGTGTAATCAAAGAAATACAGCATGCAGTATTAAAATGTGCCACATTACAACTATAAGCTTTGTTGTTCTCTTTTGGGATTTTAAGTCACAGATCCTCACAAAGAGATGCATAATTGTGAAGTGCAAAGTAATTTGGAATAAGAGTGGCATGGATTTGTATTTAGTCTCTCTACACTTATATAACTTTAAATAAAATGTACTGGGAAAAAAATTTACATCACCCTTAAGACACTATCCCCACTAAAAAACATGGTGGGAACAGAATATCGCTGTTGGTATGATTTTCTTCTACAATCACAAGGAAACTAGACCGAGTTGAAATTAACAAGCTAAATACAGCAATGTTCCTGGAGGAAAACAGGCAGATTGTAGGGGAGGTTTAGCTCTCGTAGAACAACAAAAACATACAGCCAGAGCTAAAATGGATTGGTTTAGATCAGAATTTATTCATTTATTAGAATGGCCCAGTCAAAGTCCAGATCTAAATCTAAATGATAATGTGAAAAGAGCTTAAACTTGATGTTTACTGCTGTTTTATATCAAGATTGACTGAGCTTGAGCTCTTTTGCAAAGATGTATGGGAAAGAATCAATCTCAATATTTGAACAATCTCAAGTCATTAATATCAAAGGTACTGTATAATGGTCACAATAATATCTAAAATAGGAGAACAGAAAGTCAAGGATTGGCAAATATTTTAAGAGGACTTAACCACTTAACTTTTTATAGTTTTAATAAGTAGTTAATAAGTTTCTTCCTTCAATTTAAGTCTCTAGCTAGCTTTACATATCTTTAAAAATTAGATATGTCCTTTATTTACAAAGTTAGGGACCACACTGTGTCCTAAACTATATTGTTTTCACTGCCTGCAACCTTGCTTTTACTGATTTTTGCTGAAATGGTGTTAGAGGCTCTCAAAGACAAAAGGAGAAAGAGAAAGTAATCAAGGAAAGATTGTATTTTGGCAGATGCAGTATCTTGTTTTAATGTGGCAGAATGAATAGTGGAGCCTGAAGTGACCAAAATCAGATTCTTTTGTTCATATCCGACCTTTATCAGATCTTTTCATGACAATCTGAACAAACAGATCCACATTTTTTCAAATGCAACCTAGGCCAGTTGGTTACATGGTCCTAAATCCGATACATATCTGATCTTTTAGAATGGGACGGGTGTCTGAACGGCCAGTACATCATTAGGACTCAACAAAGGTCACTGTCCTGGTGAAGATTCTCAGTCATTGAGGTCATAGTCATTCCAAAAAAGTAAAAAAAAAAAACAATCCAGTTTTTTTTTTTTTTTTTTTACATTTTTGGAATAACAAAGGTCACTATTCTACATTCTGTTATGCAGAAGCAGAAAGAAAAACAACAACCATGGAGGATGATAATGCAGAGAGCAGTTTTTCTTTTCGACCTCCTTAAAAGAGATTGCATTGTTAATGCAATGGCTCCAGGTGGAGAAGACATGAAAGAACACAACATATGCCATAGGACTACCATACATGTTTACTTCCGTAAACCAGGAGCATGCTTGCCGTTTGTAATGTCATTGTGTCCTCTACTGTGCATGAGGACCACCTTAGATGAATGTACTATAGTTCACAGGGGAGATCAGATATAATTTGCATCCATTTTGAAATGTGAAACAATCAGATTTCTCAAAAAAATCTGAACTGAGCATTAATGCTTGCAGTGTGAACATAGCCTAGGTAAAAATCTGTGTTGAAGGGCACAGATGTGTATTTGTGTGCAGATTTGTGTGGAACCCGCATAAAGTTTGTGTGAGAGAGTACAGAGATGACAGTAAAGAGATAATTGGAAGAAAAAAACAACAAAATTACTGTCTGTTAAGAAAGCAAAATCTAAAAACATACTAAATGAAGCTGCATTTTAAGCAGATGGAGATTAAACCCAAAGGTAGAGCTACTATTCTGTTTTCCTGTGTATCTTGCCTAAAACATGATTTCCTTCCCGTAATATAGATTGTTTCTTTAACCCTCTCCAGATCACCATCCTCTCCTCAAAGGTCCCTTCTGCCCCTTGCTCTTTGTGCATACTCTAAAGACTCTTAAGACCCCAGCTACCCACAGTGGATCCATTAGGACCCTCTTCGTCAAGACAGCCCCTCAAAGATTCACCGATTCACTCTTGTTTTCACACTTTCCTTACATATCCTTCTATTAGCAAGGATAGTTTTCGGCCCTTTGTCTCTGTCTGAATACTGACTCTTATTAGTGCCACTGCTCCCAGACGGCACACATGGCATCTCCTAAGTTGGGCCTGTCAGCCACAACCACAACCTCCTCTTCCCCATCATCATCATCTGCATCATTAGGCCCTCCTCCACACCCTGGAAGCCCAAGTCGGGTACCTGAGGGTCCTCCAAGTCCTGTAACCCCAACCCCAAGCCCAGGCTTAACCTCTGCTTCAGCCACACCTGTAAGGACCCATCTGAGCATTGCTCTGATCCTTGAGGAGCTCAGGGTGCTGCAACAACGGCAGATTCACCAGATGCAGATCACAGAGGAGATATGTAGACAGGTTTTGCGACTTGGAGGGGACTCCTATAGTATAGATACACCATCCCAGCATATCCTTCCGTCTTTGCCACAACTCTGTCTGGAAGGCAGTAAAAATGCATCTGATTCCTTAACCCAACCAGCTGCACCTCAACCCAATACTTCATTGGCTCCTCTCTTATCATGTTTCTCCTCTATGACCCCCTCTCAAGCAAACAAAACCACACAGTCAAGCACTTCCCTGTCTCAAGTTCTGCAACCTCATAAATCACAGATTGAAGAAGCAGGGCGAACTAGCAATTCTTGGGAGACCTCCCAATGCTCTTCTTCACTAACAACTTCCTCTGCAGGTGTCTCTGTGCCTTCTCCCACCTATGCTTTAGCTCTATCCTTAGCTCTACCCAATCGCTATCTTCATGAACAATCTCCCAATATTACATCCGTTGGGGGGCAGGGTGATTTGTCTTTTTTAAACTCATCCCTTACCACACCATCATCTAGTAACCCAAACTCTCAGCTCCAATCTGCCTCTCTCGGCAGTGACTCATCTACATCTAGCTCCAACACTTCTGGCCGTCTCCATCATGTATGCCGCTTTTGTGGAAAAGGATTCAGTAGTGATTCTGCCCTGCAGATACATCTCCGCTCGCACACAGGTGAACGACCCTATCAGTGTCCCGTGTGCCTCAGTCGTTTCACAACACGAGGCAACCTGAAGGTGCACTTCCTTCGCCATCGTGAACAAAATCCAGAGCTTTCTCTTTCACTTCTGCCACCATCTTTATTTGGGTTAGCCTTAGGTGCAAATGGGGGATCAGATATTGGACAGATCTCTGACAGCTCTGGAAGTGCTAGTGGGATAAATATAACACAAAAGAAGCGAAAAATTAGTAGGATGGATGATGAAATATGTGGAGACAACTTGGCAATCAGTGGTAACAATAGTGGCCTTTCTATTGGGCTTGCTGGTGAATCTGCTCCGTCTACTTTGCCCCTACCGCCTAGTGTGGATCTGGCTTTGATTTCACATTCTCTTCTGCAGCTAAACAGGACTGCTGCTGTTGCTAGTGTTGCCTCTATCCCACCTTCTTCATCCTCTACCTCTTCTTTGGCATCCTCCCTTCTCTCAAATCCTTCCCTTTCATCATCATCTGCTATTGCTGGATTATTCAAAGGTGTAAAACAGCAGCGCTTTGATGAAAACACTCCACCTTATGCACCTATGCTTTCCCCTACTGCTTATTCCCAACTAGCACACCTACCAAAGCTTCTTTTTTCACCTGTTTCTGTTTCTTCTTCTTCATCTATCCAGGCTGCTCACTCACCTATGTACAGCCATCCATCACTGAGCTTGCTACGCACCCAGTTACCTTCTGTTGCAGGATCCCAACCGCATGCATCCTCCAGCCATTCGCAGCTTCCATTTCCTATTTCTTCCCTTCCTAAAAACTCCAGTTCACCAACTACCAGTGTTCAATCCTTTTTGCCCACATCCACAGCAATTACCACTCCTACATCTGAAACCTCTAAGCTGCAGAGACTGGTCGAGAAGCTGGAGAAGGCCCCTTCACTTTCCTGCACTCCATGGTTTTCCTCCTCTACTCCAACATCCATGTTGGAGATTTTGTCTGGCACTACCACTTCTTCTGCTGGGAGTGCATCAAATACCCGTTTCACAAATGCCGGCAATGCCACTACCAATGTGGTTTCATCTCCATCATCCAATATCACCACATCGGTTTCCCAATTCACCCGTGAAATGCTTGTTGCTCTCAGAATGAGTGGCAATGATGCAAATGCCATGACAGGTGGTATACTACCATCACTTAATGCCACTGGTTCAGCACATAACCTGACAACCAATCAGTGTGGAGTGTGCCTACGGGTGTTGAGTTGTCCTAGAGCTCTGCGGCTGCACCAGGCCACACATCTTGGAGAACGTCCATTTCCATGTAAGATATGTGGGCGGTCGTTCTCTACCAAAGGCAGCCTGCGATCACATCTTGCCACCCATCATGCCCGGCCACCCAATGTCCAAAACTCTTGCCCATTGTGTCAGCGCAAGTTTACCAATGCTCTTGTCCTACAGCATCACATACGTATGCACCTTGGTGGACAGTTGCCCCCAGATAGCACAGAGGATTCTGAACAGAAGATTCCACCTGAATCTAATCCCAAATCCTTGACACAGTCTCTTCCCCAGCCCTGTGATCAAGAATCCCCTTCAAGTAAAACACCTTCTGGAGCGAGTCCTGCAAAGACCCCAGATACAAACTCACAGATACAAACTAAAGCTGTTGGCACAATCCCTGCCTCTTGCAGCAAGAAATCAGCTGAGAAAAATCTCACTAAGTCCCCACCCTTAGACCTAAATCAAATCCCCCTGGCTGACCTCAGCCCTGATCCTTTCATGAACTCTAACACACAAAGTCGTCCACCCAGCTCGGAAGATCCCCCTGTCCTGTGTGTCAGTTCACCGCTTCAGGTCTCCCAAATCACAGATCCAGCTTTGCCTCCTGATGAAGAAAACAAACTCCAGCAACAAGAATCTTTCGATATTTTCACTCCTACATCTAACACTTTGCCACTTGTCTCTAGTGATAACAAAACTACTGACAAAACTACAACACCTCCTTTATTGCTGGTGGATCCCACAAAAAGTAAAGAATCACCTAAGCTAGATGCTTTAAATGATTCCAAACCAGACATGGATGACTTACATATTACATCTGTTACTGATGCTCCCTATGATTGCACCAGTTCCAGTACTTCCTCTAACGTTATCACAGCTGAAGATGTTTACGATGCTGACAGAAAAGTTACTTTGGGATCAAACGCAGACTCAACAGAGCCACAATCATCAGAACCGACTGAGGAAGACAAAGACCCTTCTGATCCAAATATACCACCAAAACAAGACCAAGTATCTGTTCCTGAAAATGAACCCGTAATGACACCCACTGTGGAGAATGCAGACACAATGTTTGCTGAAGTAAGGGGGGGATTGCACAAACAGGCTATGTCTGTCAGAGAGACAGGCCAAAGCTTTCACTTTAGTTCATATGAGAGGGAAGGCCAGGCGGATCCCAGTCAAATAGGTGGACTGGTTTCAAATGAAGCTCTGGATGCTCCGCTGCCCATCAGCCTTGCTCCAACTCTCCCATCTCCAATGTCCCGTCCTGAGAAGAAAACCTACTGCTGTGCGGAATGTGGAAAAGAGTATGCCAGTCGCAGCGGATTAAAGGTGAGAAAAATATTTTCAGATATAATATTTGTATCTGTACATGAATATACTGTATGTTTATGTTCATGAGGATATTCATTTTAAGTTTATGCATTTAGCAGACACTTTTATCGAAAGCGACTTACAAAGTAGGCATTTGCATGAAGGGTCTTGCCTAAGACCCTTCACCTAATTACATCAAATATAGTTTGATGTAATAAGGTGAAACAGCTCATTTTAGGCATCTAATAGGTTAATGTTAGTTATACTTTATTGTGAATTTTGAATTCCATCATGCTAAAGTTATGTTAATTAAAAAATCACTAGATTCTATTTCATATAGTTTACTAATGGACTCATTTATTAGTCATAATTGAACATAAATGTATTACTGCTCCTTCATAGTCTTGAAAAGAATTTAAACTGCTTTAGATATTTTCATGGAAAAAGTTTTTGTGTTTTTCACTTCCTTCCTCATTGCTTATTTTCCTCATGTCTTTCCCTACTTCCTTATGTTGTATATTTTTGTGTTGCTCGCTTCTTTTACCTTAGTTCTTCAATAATTCTTACCTGTTGATTTCTTTCACTAAGATTTCAGCCATTGTCCTTCCTTTGCTGATTCTGCCACTCTTCATACTTTACTTTTTCACTTCCTTCCGTTGTGTCTTCCTCACCTTTTCAAATTATTTTCGTCTATGCTTCTTTACTGTATTTCAGTCACTGTCTGTTTCTCTAAATTGTACAGTGGAGTGAACTGTTGGCTGAATCAAGAATTATGTCATCTAATTAATTCCTAGGGTCATATGAAGCACCATGGGGGCGTTACCAAACCATCACGTCCACCAGCCAGGGGAAGTCGTTCCTCCTCCGACCAGATTCCTTCCTCTGCTTCTTCTGTGTCCTTAAACATTCCAGCCACTAGGAGTTCAGGAGGCTTCTGGAACCAGTACCAAGCCTTCCTAAACACAACTAACCAGTCAGCTGATGACCAGAAGACTGTAAGTCAAGGTGGAAATAAAGCCGTGCAGAAGGAAGCAGGGGAAGAACCAGAAAAAGATTCATAACTTAACTTAGACTGGCTTAGAAAATGTTGTGGTACAGATTTTTTGTTTGTCTTTTAGCACAACTCTATGGACATTTACAAAGAATTGCTTCTATAACCCATTTCAGGCGGCCTGTCAGTTTGATATTCAGAGTAATGTGTTTATATGTGATTCTTGTGAGACAAGCGTCATGGCCGTCTTGTGTTATAAAAGAGGCAATAGTCCAATTTTGTTGGGTTTATCAACATATAATTGGCTCAAAGGCTTGAATTATGTGACTCACAAGGCTAATCTGAACATACAAGAAAACGCTGCACTATCAGCTTCCTACTGAGTCACAGAAACATGCACAAGAAGAGTCTGACATTTTTATGTTGTTTTTGAAACATTTGTGATTGTTGTGTCACCTATTAAAATGTAATCCATATGGCACATCCTTTCAGCTTACTCAACTTTTTTAGGGGCATCCATAAGGAGCTCCCAAGGACATGTATCACCCATGATGCATCAGTGGGTGCTCACCTTGAGGCATTTCATATTTGTGTTAGAAACTAATGATTTTTTTTCATATCTGTAATCTACTGATATTCTACTGCAGGTAAAAAAATTTTTTTAGGGGAATTTAAATTTACAGCAGGGCATTACTAACAGTGTGGATTTCATATTAATCAATCCCTCTAAGAATTAAAAGGTACAAACAGGTTTTTGGATGGTTAATTTAACAACTGTGTCATGTAAAACTCACATAAATAATAGAGTTGGATTGAATTTGATTTGATCTTTACCTCTATTATCCTTCACAAGAGTGTATCTACCAAAATAAAGGAAAAAATTGTTTAGATATATAGGTATAAATTTGCTTACACACAAAAAGTTGAAGCAGAAAAGATAATCAATGTTGGTACAAAAGGGATATAAAATTGGCAAAGGAAAAATGACCTTGAGCTGCCACGGTTAAATCAGCAAAAACAAGAATTGCTTTTTAAGAGAAAATAAACCTGATATAATGAGAACTGAGAGGATATAAGTCTTTCATTTTTATTTTTTGTTTATTTTGTGTGTAAGTGGGGGTATTCTTTCATGTCTTGCTCTATTTTTTTTTTTTTTTTTAATATGGTCCTACTGAAACAAAAGCACATGTGCTGTTGTTGTGAGCCCAAAGAGGGCGTGGTCTGTCCTGTGATGTTAGCCCTTCAGCTTGGGGACTGTTATTGTAACCATACGACCCATGAGTGAGACCTGTAATGCATTTAAATTTACTAAACTTACTAAACCTACATGTTTAAAAGTGTATATGTACAGTTGTTTTTGATAGTTAACATACCCTTCCATTCAAGACAGAAAATAAATCTGCTGCCTGTAATATAAATTGAAATGGTCAAAAGTAATTATTAATTAAAAGGGACAAAAAATAGAAATGATGACATTGATTTTACATATTTTACATAAACTAGCCTGATGATGCTCCTGAACTAAAATGTTGTTCAAAAATGCTTAAAATTTCAATAATTAAAATCAGATGTTTTCTGTAAAGTTCAGGAAATTATCAGTCAGACTTCTGCACCTGTTGACCGGTATGTCGGTGCATTGTTAATGAGCAAGGCACTTTAATTTGTCTGGGGCAGTTTTTTTTATTAGAATTAAAAAAAAATTCAAAATCAATATTTTATTTGACTAAATTATTATTTTATCAATTTTTATTTATTTGACTATTTTCAGTTTTGTTTGAATTACTAGAAGGGATTTATCATTTTCTTTAATGGGAGGGTAAGTTAAGTCTAAGGGCAACTATGTATAATAAAATATATGTCTACTTGTTGTAAGCTGTACTTCATATATTCCCATATTAAAAATATCCACTTTGGGAAAGAAATGTGCATTTCTTCATAAGTTTTTTTTTTTTGTCACAACAGCAATTATTATTAATAATGAGTTGTCAGGTTTGCTATATTATCTCAGAAGCAGACCAAGATGCATGTGGAGATTTATGGACCAGGTGGTTCTGTTTGAACCCTATAAGAAGTAAACAGTTCCTGTTTAGTGGGTTTAGGATCAGATTTTGACCTCCTTTGGATTATAGTTTCATTGAGGAACGTCTTGTAAACATCTAACCTGACGTAATTTTATCTTGTATGTGAAACACTGAACAGTTTATAGGTAAAATATAAATAAATAACTTGAACTATTATAGGCCTATAAAGGTTTTTGATCTTGAAAAGCATTTCAAATTATAAAAAGAATGCATAAGTTAAAGCAAGAATGTGATGCATATAAAATGTATAACTAATTGGGTTAACGTGATTTGAATTTTAATAAGAAAAACAAAAGCTTACCCAATGAAGCTTTTTGTTTAATAATATGCGTTAGGGGGCGCAATATGTCTTCATACAGAGAGTTGTGCGTTAAATTATGTATTTGAGTTGTTTTCCATTAGTCTTAAACAGTTAATGCATTAGAAAGACTCTTATGTAGCTGGTAATAAATTAAAGATACATTTTTTAGAATAAAAAACTGTTGCAAGATGCATTTGTTTCTGATTTTATAAATATACATCTGTTTAGAAATGCTTAGAAAATGTTTTAAAGTATTTATATGTAGTTTGTTGACTAGTCTATATAAATTGTCCTTTACTTAGATAGCAGTAAATCTCTATATAAGGCGTTTAATCGCCACCTAATGGTTAAAAAAAAGCAGTATAGGTCATCAAGTTAAATCCATTTAGCTCTCCAAGGGAAGGCGGGCCGATCCGGGAGGAGGAAGAGGAGGGGGAGCTTTATAAACCAATATTTTCCAGAGAAAAAACCTCCCGGGAGAATCATAGCACCACGTCTGCAGAGGGAAGAGAGATGGGGTCAGAATAAGCAGAATAAAGTCCAGCAAAGAGGGGAGAGAACAGGAGGACAGAGAGAGGATCTATTAGTGTGGAAACAAAGCCTGCAGCAACATCAGGAGCGAAGCGCAGGCAGAACTTGGACATCCCCACAAACCTCCCCTCCTCCCCTCTGACTTCCTGCCAAATTGGTAACTGTGCGCAAAATAACCGTGAAAAGAATGAACATATCGGAGAGTTATTTGTTGAAATAACGCAATTGTGAAGTTGAAGAGAGGCGCATTATTGTTTTATTGCCAAGTCGGCCTTTAGCGTCCAAAAAAAGGAAGTTTTTTTCTTCTTTCCATCCGCAGATGATGTTTTGACATAAAAACAAGGGGGAAGATCGCGCGGACGTGTACAAGAACATCTGGCAAAGTTTGTTTTCTACATCTTTTTGTGCGTGGTGTGATGATACCAGAGGTGAGGTCGGTGGTCCGGCTGCTGCTGCTGGCGCTGGTCTGGGAGCTGAGAGCGCATGGAGCGACGCAGCGGCAGGTCAACCCAGAGGTGAGCGCGCAAAAACATCCAAAGTACCCAGAATACTTCCAAAAGATTCAGACATTTACATCCTTAATGCATCTTTAACATAAAACAGACATCAGGGAACAATATGATCAAATCTAATCTAAATAGGGGCAAATGACAAATCAGTGCTTAGTAAACATTACCAAATAAATACAAACGGTTTAGAAACTAAAGGATTAGGGTAAAGATAGGAGGATTATTCAGGATTATTCACACCTGTTGAACCTTTCACCTTGTTGTTTTCTCGTTATTATAAAGGTAAATATCATTCAATCCCCTTTGATTTGACAGCCTAAAATAAAATAAAAAAAACAGGGCATTAAAATCTAACAAGTTTTTTGGGTATACCTGTACCACACATTGCATATCTAAAGACTGAGATTAGATTAGATTAACTTTATTGTCCCAAAGGAAATTTGACTGTGGCTGCTACATAGTCCAAAACTATGTGTCACACTGCATTCACACACAAAAACACTGCTATAGAAATTCCATTATAAGACAATAAATAAATACATAAAGAAGCATGTTACATTACATTCATAATAAAAAATGTAATCTAATATTGACACCCATTCTTGCTCTTTCAGATGTTTATAGACACATTTATAGACAAAATTTTTTTTTAATATACACACATTAAGATCTTGACTTAGACATAGCAATTTAAACCCATTGATAAGTGCTTATCCAAACCCATCCACCTAATCTTTGGCTGCACATTTAGACTTGTCCAGCTGGAAGGTAAACCCAATGCCCTGTTCTGAAGCCCTCTGCAGCCTCCAAAAGATTTTCTTCCAGGATTGCCCTTTATTTAGCTCCATTCTTCTTCCCGTCAACTCTGACCCACTTTCCTTCCCTGCTGAGGAAAGGTTTCCCCTCAGGATCTTTCTCTCTCTGCCATGCATCAAACAAAGACAATGTGTTCAAGTGTAATCTTCTCACCATTGTATTAATATGGGTAGATTTCCTGCTAATACTGTTGGTGCAGATCAGTATTTTTGAGCCATATGAAAACATGATATAGGCTAAGTAGCTGTAGTCTACCACTCATCTAAAGAAGCAGGATTTGTGGACTGCATTTATGAATCGTGTAAACGAATACTTTTACAAGTTGCTGTATTATTTTAAATCATTGTAATGTATGTGATAGCTTTGTTTCCCAGTCTGTATTGTAATGGATAATCATTTCTGTGGTGAGATGGGAAGGGCTTTGACCCTGGGTTAGGGGAAACAGCCCATAATGATGATAGCCTCATAAAAACACACAGAAAAATGCTGAGAGGGCAAAAGCACAAGAAGCTAGAGAAGGAAGAAATGTGCAAGTAATACATGAAGTTGCGCTGTGGTTTGGGTCAGAGACAAAGACATTTATTTTATTGAAGTAGACATTGTGAGATGTGTGGGCACTTATTCTCAAAGGACATGAAGAAATGTAGGGTAATTGTTGACATATGTCCTAAAAGAGGTCTGATCCGGTGGGGGGCAAGGAGGGTTTCTCAATCTGAGACGTATAAAGCATCTTAGCAAATTTATCTGCAAAGGATGTATATTTCCTCCTGAAAAAAATCAAATGCCATAAAGTTTAGTTTATATTTCTCTGCTCCTATTTGTTTAGAATCTGCTGTGTTTCGTCCAGTATTACCAGGAAAACAGCAGCAGGCTTTGTGTTTATTCAAGGAAGTGACCGTTCAGCACACCTGCTTCCTTCAGTACCATCAACAATCATCACATATGTGGGAAAACATCAGTTTATTTATAACGGATGCAGGAATGAGATCAAAGAGTTATATATTTTTTTAAATTGCAGGGCCGCATCCGAATAACTGCATCCTGCCTTAGGCTTATAAGGAGTTGAAGCTGCAACTGTAACAATGGAAAAAAAAAAGTTTCTTTTTTTTTTTTTTTTACTATAATGTTACTGTATTGACCTACAATAGACTGGAGGCTTTTTAAAAAAATTAAAATGGCAGAGCCATTTTAATTTTTTTTTTTTACATTTTGACATATTGAGAGGCATGTTTTCCATATTATTTACATTAAAAAACAATTTAATGACATTTACTTTTACACTTT